GTGTTCGTGTGTGGTTTTTTTTAGGGTGTTCGTGTTTATTTTTTAGGGTGTTCGTGTGGGTTTTTTTTAAGGTGTTCGTGTCTTTATTTTTTAAGGTGTTCGTGTGTGTTTTTTTAGGGTGTTCTTGTGTGCATTGTGCACGTTGGCCTTAACTTTGAACTTCGCCAGCAAATCAAGCGATGGTGGAGCAGCAAGCATAAAGCGACCAACATTTTTGTAAGTGAAAACAGGTGTTCCGCGCTGGCTGTATTTCTTTTCATGACCTAATTGAAAAATCTTCATGACCTAATTGAAAAATCGCTGTCGTGTTCATAAAGGCCGAATTAGAGGACACAACCTATGCTTTCAACCATCGCATGCAACATGCCTAAGTAGTCCTTACAACATGGATACAACTGTAAGTAGGGCTATAAAACGATTTTTTTTTTAATCACTACGACAGTTGTAACTAAATGTTGAAGGGACCACTGGCATGTTGCGTGCGATGGTTTTAGGAAAACGTTGTGGCGTGTAATTCGGTATGTTGTACAGCAAAGCAGGATGGGGGGTTGTCGTCCTAGCACTTTTCATAGCTCATGAAAATTCTCCCTAAAAACCAATTTAACAATTTCTTTGTAAAAACGGCACAACTACTTCTAGTTTTGTAAATAGAAAGTGAATTGAACTTCAGAGGATTGTTTTAGTGAACAAGAAAAAGTGCGAGGACARAATAGCGTCGCTACACATTCCCTATTGACTGCATTTACAGGCATAAATTTTACTGCGGCATGCATTCATATCGCTAGCTAACGTCGCAATTTCTGCCCTCCTGAGATATACTGAGGGGAGTTAGCATAGTTAGCCAGTCAAACGTATGATCGTTCCCTGTACAGATTCGCCCAAGCTTATCTAGTGATCAATCAGGACCATCATTTAYGACTCAAGGTAGGTTTCATACATTAACTATTTCTGACATACATACATTCGACTATCCCATTATTTTCCTCGACTTTTCAATCGAGTCRCAAAGTCGTATACAGTAGGGAACGTTAGAGTTAACAACATGTATGAGTTTWAGTACGAGTRCGAGTTATAAAATTGATGGCTTTTTGTGAGTTGTCGGATAGTAAATTTCTAGTCTTGTTTATATTTCTATGTTATTCAGTCAATGCATTCATAGGAATTCAATTCATGATCGATAAGACACAAGGCCAATATCAAAATTCGTTMTCAATGGCGTGCACTCGTGAAGTCTAAAGTCCCACTGTAATTTCCTTAAGCCATAACGAGACAGATAAAMTCCGTTGCTGACGTTCTAAATGCCTGAGGACGCAGGCGACATTTTCCTTTAATATTAAAACGGWTTTTTTATAATAATTCTGACTTTCCTGAACATATAGCACCATTGTACGGACCAGAAGAAATGGAGCTCACTGAACTAGTGAGGTCACCCCGAACAGCACAAGGTCAAAATATATTTAGCATGTCTTTAAACAAGGTATGTCCGAATATAACTGTACAAGATGAAATCCAATGTGAACAGATTGCGACTCAAGATGGACCAAGCAGCAATCCTCATGATGAACAGCTGACTGTCCCACTTCCTTGCATACTAGGGAACTACCTTAGCAACACTGATGATGCTGTTTTGATTAAACGTAAGACTTAAACTATGATTGTTGATAATGACTGCCGGCCCGTAGCGAAGGATTTTTAGAGGGGGAAGGGGTGTATATACTGTGGTGACAGTGATGAAGAGAATATTAGAGTTCGATATACCAGACAATCCTATAACAAATGGAAAGGTCATTATAGACTTTTCATGGTAGGGTATGGGGGAAGGAGGGGGTGGTAGACCTTCACTAGGCTTTGAAGCAGTCAAAGACAGAACAGAACTCTCTTATGCAACAGATGACTTGCTTTCCATGTGGGATGACTAATTATTCAAAATGTCCTATGTTGCAGTAAATTGCGCATGCTTAATAGCGACTAAACTCAGCAGTGTCATTTTTCGTCATTTATCTCACTGTAATTCATGTTAATTAGYGTTGGAGTCATTTTCAACATTCGCTTCTGTGTTGTTATGTATCGGAATTACAATCTCTCGCCTGTRGCTCGAGATTGTAATTCCCATAACATGGCCACTCAYGTTGTAAACTATGCAAACAAGATGTCATTCTCTCTTCATTTTTCTCCAGGAAGTCACACTATTATCGAGGAGTTTGCCAAAATGGGTGTCAAGCAAGATGTATACAGAAAAATTTCAACTGTGTAGAAAAAGAACTTTAATTTATATTCACCTTTTTAAAATAATACTACAATGTAATGTACACGATGTAGGTTCTACTTTTTTTTCATGTTCTTTTCAGTAATGTCAACAGATTGTTGTCAGCTGATTGATTGTCATTATGGTGTGTTCCTGGCTTGCTCTCAAGTCATATTTGATGCTGTGACAATAGACTCCTTCTCAGTTACCTGCGCCATCTTGAAAGGTAGCCATGCCTTTACATCGAAGCGAGACAACCGTTGAGCGTGCAATGATAGAAACCTGTGAATAATTGTCTGTAGGTGTGAAAGAAGGTTTCTATCATTGCACACTCAACGGTTGTCTCGCTTCGATGCAAAGGCACGGCTACCTTTCAAGATGGCGCAGGTAACCGTGAAGGAGACTATTCATAAGAATGGATTTGTAATGGTTTTATAACAYTACAGCCAATAAAATATTCACTTTTTGGAAAAGAGTTTGTGTTTTGAAGATTAATGATGTCATGTGAAAACCAAGATTAGCTGTAACATCACTGATTGCATGTTTCCCTGTCTCCATGGAAAATATTACAGTGTAAATTGAAAAGCTGCGACTGCCTAGAAATATTTTGAGATTTGTGYACTTGAAGAGTGGCTTCAGATCACAAACAAGAAAGCATGATGTAAAACATAAAYGAACAAACTTTGTGTTTATTCTAAACAATGAAATTGTACTATTGTGAGCTTTTTACAGCCCATTTTCTGCTGATAAACTAGTTTACTTATTTGTAACGTCAAAGTTTTGATTGAATTTGCAGGTGAAAATGCAACCAGATGATAGTTAATCTCCCTCTAATTGGGCAACAAACAACATTCCCAAAATATTTCTCCGAGGTTTTTCGATTCGTACTGCAATAAAAGGTTTCATCATTACTGTACAAAGAAAGAACAATACTCTAAGACAAAGGCAGATGTATTCTAGGAGTGTACCTTAATATTCACAAATATCTACACCATTTTTGATATTCTTTCACAAAGGTTTGTTCATAAATGGAGTCCATGTTCCTTGTATAGAAGGATGGTCTGTATGCCAGAACTTTCTGATCTTTTCAATCTTTTTGCCAGATTCTCCTTTCAGTCTGTCCAGCCATACTTGGATGTCTTGTGGATATTCATTCTTGATATCAATTATCTTACTATTTCCATTTACTTTAGAGAGAGAGAAGGAACAAAAAACATAATGTGGTGTTAGCTAATAAGGCATAAATTTGTAAAGCTTAATGTCAACAAACACCATTTTGTGCAACMAARCTTCAGGTTCAATATTAACAGTCCTCCTTACTCCTTTTTCTTTYATAGAAGTTGTGAAGAAAACATAAAAATGTCTTTCAGAGATTTTTTAGAGCCTAAMAATAGTTGCATTAAGTTAAGCTTTAAATATTTTGTTGTACAAAATGGCATTGCTACACATGCCTATTCACAATTTCAATTTTGCTGATAAAACCTTTGTGTKAATGGGTACYTTTTAARCTAAAACACACCTCAAATTAAAAAATACTTCAAACTTACAATAATTAGCCACGATTCTAGGGTGTTTTCCATTTCTTTCACGCACGTAAACTGCTATTTGAGGATTTTTTGACGCAAAATCCACCAAACTTTTGTCGATAAATTCCCTGCCGAAGGAGTAAACTTGATTTAAATCTTGCCMAAATTCTACAMTTTGGAAAAAKATTGTATCTACCTTAAACCTCTACTACTTCCACCGGCTCTGCAATAATTTAACGTCAGTCTTTGGAGTTGGCARACATACCTACCAACACCATTTGCACTCGCCGCCATCTTGTTCACGTGTGGCATTAAAAGTCTTTTGGGGTCCCTGTCTCGTCTGCCACAGGAACCCCATGCACGATTTCTCAGTTTACATAATTATTGCAAAAGAAGAATATTACATAACAGTTAAGTAAAAAGATAAATTTAACACCTTAAAAAAGTAGGTAGCCGGAACTAAATTGAAAACAATCAAAGGAATGGAAACGAGAGGCCTATTTGTAAGGGCAATACTGCGGATTCCATAGCACATTCCATAGCAGATTCCATTGCTTGTCTGTAGCAACAAGACTTTCTTGATTCTTGTTATATACAATAAGAATACTCTTTAATATTCCCAAGCTACTTCCGGTTTATGTCATAAGCATGCATCACCGCAGGCAGTGACTTTTTAAAAGGACTGCGCCCTATTTCTAAACACCACTTCAGTTTCGTTCCTGGATTCGAAAAACTGTACATCGCTCCGCTTTCATCGCATGTGCTTCCTATGGAAGACCACGTCAATGAGCAGATTTTGTCAATCTTCCATGCTAGCCATTGTTATCGTCGAGCTTGCGCAGGGGACTGGGGCGCTCGCTACGAGATCAATCTTTGGCCTCATATTGTCACGCACACGTACTAGATTGTGAACGGCTCAGGTAAATAAAACTCGTGCCTTGTTCGATTGAGTCCATGAAAGTTCTCAGCAGTATTGTCTAATTCATTTAAGTATCAATTATTGTAAATGCAATTGTTCTACAAGCCCTCAATTTCTTTACTTTTATTACATACAAAATAGAATGAGTATTGAAACAGCAGCCCGAGTAACTATCCCACCTCATAATAGGATGAGAGAGACCGTTAAGATTTATAAATATCTATAAATTAATATTCGAAAGGCATTTAAAAGTCTGGTAGGGCTGTCTTGCTAGCTTCAATAAGGAGACATTACCAATCTGGGTTTTACTATGTGCTATTCAGCAATTACATGATGGCATGCATAACTTAGCAAAATTGCTCAGTTTTTAAAAAGCGTGGTAAATAATTATAGCCAAATCTTTACACTAACAATGCGATGCTAATATAAGCACAAATTCATTTCCATGCAATTTGGTTCTTTTCACCATGGAAACGCTTTTCCTGGCAACTATATAAGCTGCCTTTTTCTCTTTAGAAAATATTATTAACTTTTATCACTAAACGATAAGACTAAATACTTTTACTGTTCAATCAATAAACTAGAGCTATTATTATGAGTGTCTCTTGCTATTCCGCTAGTCTCGCTCCAAACCCTATCGTCACATTTTGAATTAAGGGAGCTGAAGAAAGACTAATGACGTAAATAGATGTATAAATTGTACGATGATTGTATATAATTCTATAAAAAGAGCTCGCTCTATTCGATATATTCGCATACATAAGTTATTTTTAACGCTTACAACTGGTCAAATGTATCGACTATCACCTTGAATTGAAAATACCCTTAAAAAAAAAACGATCGGATTATAGCAACTTCTTTCCACACTTTCTTCCTGGCTTGGACTGAAYCTGATCACGTGATTCTATCCTCTACCTATCATATGAGGGGGTATATCGCGTCAAAATATCTGTCCTAATTAGTTCAAATCTGCTCGAGTCTACAATTTCCAGTCTCTGATACAAGTACAAAACATGTCGTTATATTTGTCTCCTCTGGCGAATTCTTAAATACTAATTGCATTTGGCACTTCCTTTGGGCTCAGGTATGGGTACGGGAAGGGACGCGCCTTGTTCTTGTCTTCGAGTATTTTGTCAATTTCTGCCAACCTCTTACGGAATCTGTTTCAAACCAACAAATAAATTTAATAATCAATCAGTTGAAAGTTATAGAAGCGTGAAGAACATTAGGCAAAAAATAATAACTGAACTTCATCGATATGGTGGATAATATCATCTAACCTTCGTACAAGTGGTTCGCCCATTTAATAAACATACACCCCCCCCCCCTTCCCTCCCTCATTCTCTTCAGCCTTACATTCTCCCTGTACTTCGAAGGCAATTAAAAGACTGAAAATATTAAGGCAATCATCTTACCGATCAACAGCCCTAACTCCAATCGGATCGTACTGATATTGCACTTCAAAGTCCCCTAAAGGATTCGTACCACGGTCGCTAAGGATCTTGGTTACAAGCATGATGTCGAGGGTCATGTCTTTCAAAGGAAGATGATCAATGATGTCTTTCTGTGTTAACTCGTCCTGCAATAAAAAACGATAGTTTGGACTCATAACTTTGGCGATAAAAAAGGTTTGTTAGTGAGCTTTATAGACTGACTAATGTGGTCGAAACACAAATGGGACCAAACTAGAAAGGGTGTGGCTTTGATGCTGTGCTCAATTTTCGCTCGTCCGGACTTATTTTTCTCATCCTGCATGATGGAAAAATCACCAAARTTCCCACTTGTGCATTACGTGTGGAAATTATAAAATCGACGTTTGAGAAGTGTGTGTGTGTGACAATACAGTTGTAAATCAATTCAAGTAGACTTATTTCCAAAAAGTTACTTAAACCARGTGTAAACGTACCTTGGTTATTGGTGGCTTGCCCCTAAGAAATGCTGGGTAGTTTGGGGGGAATGCATACTCGTCGTACTGAGCAAAGTTCGCGGCACCATGACCCACACTGCTAATAAAGATGATGCTTGTAACAGCTTTGATCAAGTCTTCCAGGTCAGTAAATTTACCATCGCCAAATACGCCCTACAAAGATGGAACAAAAAAATCAACCAGAGTCCGATTCCATAGTCCCCTTCACAGACTACCTTTTTGTCGGGCTTCCTGTTTGAAGGGACATGAAGCCCGACWAAAGCGCAGGYTGCGAAGGAGTCCTGAGTGAAGAAGAATAGATTGAGTATTGAGTTTGTCTTATTTGTCTTCGCTCTGTAGGACACCATTTSTTTGTAGTATTTTGATAATAAATGTTAGTTTACCAAAATTCCCAGACCATCCTCTTTGTCCGCAAGCATGTGTCCCCAGTTCTGGATTTCATAGTCATTGATTAACTTGTCTTGAGAATCTACAATACGTAGGAAACACATAACGTTAGTAATGGAYTACTGAATAAATGTCCTAAAGGACAGTGGGAATGGGAAATACTCAAGATACATTTAGTCGGCAATTACATAAAGCTATCCGGCCTGGTATAACGCTAATCTAGACAGATTTGGCTTTGTCACAAAACAWTGGAAAACAAGCTTCTAAGTTCGCTTACTCACCGTAATGGCCCTCGAGAACTTCGCGTACGTAATCCCAGATGGCTTGATGAATAAGCAGGGCATCGTCTCTGTACGGGTAGTTCGGTAATGCTTGCGTATCATCAACCTGGAAAAACAAACACCAACCGTGCTRAATTGACTGGATTTCCATATRGTCGGTCACAAAGGGTGCCGTTAAAACTCTCATACGAACSAAGCAACTATTGAGAAACACCCCACAAGAAAGCCAATATGTAATAGCTTTTGGGGGAATTTTTTAGATATTTTTTAGTAGTATAGCTCGGACATACATTTAAATAAATCATTTTTTTTCCTGGTCAGTTAACGTGACGTAACAGAGGCCATGCTGGTGTGCAACAAACAAAGATTTYTTGTTAGCTTCTACTTGCCGACAAACATGTCACACAATTTATTTCTTAGTTTATTATTACTTATTTGGTATTAATATTTCTCAAAAGATGGTTTGGTGAAGCGACTTCAAATCAAGAATAAAACTGCAGTGTAACTCATAGCTACAATTAAGAACGTAAAGGCCTTAGAATTCTAAATATGCTTCCGAGGAGCAAATGACACTCTCATATAGACTGCCAAAAAAAAGAAACTCACTCCAGCTCAACAAATCCAATCAATTCCTATTTCYTTGATTTCTATTTTTAMACATCAACAACGAGGTGTGTCTCATTATGAATGCATTATCAAGAGAGTCCTTTACCTTAAGAATTAACTTATGTACAATTATTTCCGGTTACGTGCAAACAGAGTATTAAAAGATTAGTATCATTAATTACTTAATGACGTGAAAACAATTACGGCTATATAAAATACGTATACGTGACGTCAATGTAGGCGTATCGTGACGTCATAGTGAACAATAAGCCATAGAAACTTATTAATAGGTTGTTAAGTTAATTCCTAAATGAAGCTTTAGCAACAATCWTTTGTAGCTGTTTATAAAAGCATGAATTAAAATGATAGTTTCTATGGTGATAACTTGATATTTGTACTTACGCCTCGCGCCTCTAGCTCAGTGGGAAGCCAGCCTTCAATGTTCATATGCCACTTCTGCCAACTAAAAATACAAAAAATTAAAAATTAAATAAGTGTMCAACTAGGGTGACTGCTAATTTTTTAAATCACGGCGATGTACAAAGCCGTTTTTGCTCAATATAACACAGAAAATATTTCATTTGTGTTTACAATTCTAACTGGCTAAAAGCATGTTGCTATAAAAGTTCCTAACCTTGATCCACACAGTTTCAGCAAAGCCTCGGCTCCAGTTGTCATACATTCATCAATCCAACCATTGGGCTGTATAAGTCTTGCCAAAGCGAGCCTGCGGAGAAGAATGCAAATTAATAAATAAAAATAAAAATAAAACCATTGTCAGATGTATACATTAATTTTAAGTGCATTGCATTGCAAAAAGAAAACTTTCTTTGCGAGGTTAAGAAGTTAATTCTGCGGCCATAATGCAGGGTTTATAAACGTAAACCACACTTTGGGATGAGCTTTTCAAGACCACAAGAARACTTTCAAAAGAAAACCGCTAGAATAACCACAAAACGCAAATTACCAGAATTTACCCCAGAATTTACAACGCCACASCCGGTTTTTTACCTCAAAAACTGGCAAATTGCATCTTGTCAATAATGTTCATTTATGTTTGCTAAGCGTCACCTTCACAAATTCGTGTACTTACGAGTTTATCGCCAAAAGATACAAAAAGTGTGGAGCCAGTAATCGGAAGACTGGATGAGAYGGCGACAACTGTCGATGTGTGCCAACACAAATTGTCTCAGCAACAAGATGCGTAAACCCTAAAAAAAGTGATTTCTTGATAAAACACGCATTTCTTCACCAAAAAACATAATATATAGAAAAATAGCTATAAGTAATTATTAAAATACTGCTATAGAAATTTATTGTTAGGATTTTCTTTCCATATAAAACAGCGGGATTGTTTGTTGTTGCTGTTGTTGTTTTCGTTTGTTTAATTATATTTTGTTCTGTATTGTGGTTTATGTTTTTTTAAGTTGCGTATAAAATAAACAAATACAAGATATAGAAAACATGGAAAAACAATCAAAAAATTTATCAATTTACCAAGATGTGTGCATGACTGGTGAAATGCTGCATCAGCATTGTTGTAATACATCTTTGCCAACATCCACGTATACTGAGGGTCACTRGGCAGAAAAACCTATCGCGAAAACGTTTYAAAACCAAAATTATTAGAAAGKTTCCCAGYTYTGTTTCTTCACAAGAGRGAAACCTCAAAAACAATTGAATCAACATTTTAGACTAATATTCTGCATGCAGGCCTACTCGAGAGATTATTYGATACTTACAGGATTCTCTTCTTCATCTTGATTTTGGAAAAGTTGAATTGCGAYRGGCATCAACTCCTTGCTGTCATTCACGAAGAACAATGCCATTGGCTTGCAGATCTGTAATCAACATGAATCATATTCTTCAATGTAACAAAAGCYGATTTCAAGAAGTCAAATACATTGATGATACAGCTGAAATAGGCCATGCACATTGATTGGATTCAMTTCTTGCAAAGAGCTAGTGCATACCTATATATAACCAACTTGCTCTTAAACTTTAACACAGAGTTTTGACTAAATTGACTATCTTTAGTACAGTGTCTTCTTTTTGAAAGTATATTTCAGGGGGGATCCAGCATTCTYGTCAGGAGGGAGGGGGTGCATCATTGAGAAATGATGTGTTGTACTAGTGCACAAATGTCTCTTTTTCAATAATAATAGTGGTACTTGTATCAGACCTATTCGTATGCATTCAACTCTACTTGGAACAATTACATATGTGTACAATACCAAAAAAATGTATTTGGGACAACTGGCCTAAGTGCCTCTGACTCTCTTTTTAATTGCCAATTTATCAGAGCTCAAGAAATAAGGAAGAGCCAGATGCCAATGAATCCACCTCACAAAAGCTTACCAGGCGGTTGAATCTGCACATGACATCAGATAAGCGCTTCATATTACAAATGTAGATTCTTTTTGCTTGGATGGCATTATCCAAGGTCAGTCCATCCAAGAATGGCTCAACCATTTCTGATGTGACTTTAAAACTGAAAAGAAACGGTATTGATAAATAATTTATACATATASGTAAAAAGTAATATAGACTCATGTACTTACTTTTCTGGAATCTCCTTRCAAAGTCTTAGCATGACAGGATTGCAGCCTTGTACTCTCTGCCGRCCAAAAGCTGAATCCTCCTTCCAGTTATAGATACCCTGTTATAACAAATAACAATGCATGGTTACAAGTCTAGCCTCCTCCACAGTTAACACATATTAGGGAAGACAGGAAGCCCAAAAGACACCTGCAGAGGAAGGTACAATAGATTTGTGCTCTGGGATATTYAGAAATGCAAACCAGATGCAGAACTAATGGGAAGGGATGTACTATGTAATGATTGGGGTTAAATATGACAGGAGGCTGTCATTGCCTCCTCTCCCCAGGAAATCCGAAACTACAAGTATGAGGTCAATTTGGGGAGGAAGCTCAGGAAGACTTGAAAAAGGTGAAGGCAACAATCAGACAATAGAGAGCATATACAAACAATACTAATGCTGTGTTATGCTTACATAAGGTTTGCCAAGACTTCCTGTATAAACATTTGCCAAATCCTCCAGCTTTTCCCATGGATCAGAGGTCAACTTTGTCAGCTTACATTTGATGAAAAGTTTATATTTTGTCTGCTGGATATTCCACTGATAACAATTCAAAAATGTCAGTTTAATATACTGTACGCCTATTGTGGAAATCAGATAAAATACTTGACAGAGAATGTCTGTCATGAATAATGTATAGTTACAAAACACATTAAYACTGTAACAATAATCAATGTATATTTTATTAATACTAGTAAAGATTAAATGTGCATGTACATATTTGTTCAATAATATTGTTATAAAATATTTATGAACAATAATTAAATAATCATAACCAAAGCCAATTTTTAAATTAACTTTTTTTGGATAAAGAGAATGCTGCCATATAAAAATAATGATAAAAAAAATGAAAAATGATATTTATATAAATATAGGATTTTGCTAAAAACACAAAAGAGGTTAGTTCAACTTGAGAAATTTTCTTTTGCTCTATAATCTATTTCTCTTTGTAATTTTTTTTTTCCTAAAGTTTAATATTCATATTTTCATAAAACAGTTCTACCTCTTACAATTAGTGCATTTCTATTGACTAACATGATATAAAAATGAACAAAAGTTATGTTAATTATCTTTTGTTAACTATTTGTATGGTATCTGCTCTAATTTTGTCATGTCAGTTGTCAAATGACTACAAATTAGGTACTTTGCAGAAAGCTTTAATTCTATAAATTCTCTTTCAAGTAAAGTCAATATTTCCAAATTCAAGATACGATTCAAGGTGATATTGTAAATATCTCTATTTATGATGATATTGAAGCTCACTTATATTGCATAGTGACAAGTTGTCACTTGGTTACTGTAGACGTCAAAGTATCTTTACATTTATTTTACTTCTACTATAGAGTGTTTTTCAAGTGGAGGACATTTTAAAAGCATTGCAATCACTGATATGATCTTATATACTAGATGGTATATTTTCACTAATAACTCATAATGTAGATAATAATTTATTATTATTCAATACCAAAGCAATTCTTTATGTCAAGCTTTATTCAGTGAGATTTTTTTTTTCATGCATTACTATTTGAACAACAAAATTCCAATGACTCTATAGCAACGACATCACATTGGAGACGTTTCCATGGAAACGTGTCTAAATAAACTGTTAAATGTAGTGACTTATGTAAATTTTTTAACACATTTTTGATCATTGAAGTAGTAATAAATTAGATGGCATGTTTTCTTGTATGTATGATTTAGGGGAATTTGATATCACTGACAGCTCAAAACTCGCCAAGACACGTCAGTTTCCAGCAGCCACACGCAGAACTTTTATACTTAACCTAAATTGATTTTACACTTCATAAATTTACCTTGTAATCATTGCTAAAACTTTCCTCTCTTGGGCAGCTTTCAATCTGTATGAATATGAATTGAAATAATGTTAAAAAATAAAAGAATTTTAATAGGATTAATGTAAACACAAACGTGAAATTAGCTTATTCAAAGTAACAATTATACTCTAGACTTTTCAAACGAATTTGACACTAGGAAATGTAAATACGGATATGGAAGTTATGCAATTTCGACTTTTGAAACTAACTCCACAAATTGTCTGGCTTTAACAACCAAAAAGCGTTTTATTTTCACCAAAAAGAAAAGCTGAAGCCGAAGTACAAATGACGTGAGTTGAATAAGCGATTAAACACATCAAAGAGTGAAGACGTATTGTTGCAAAGATATTACATAATTATTGATGGCAAAATTCAGTACCTGTTTGGGGCATCCTGGGGCCTTGCGGCAAAGAACATAMGATTTTCGCTTTTCTTCCAGTTCAAGTTTTCTCTGCTCAGGATGGTCGTCAAATTGTGGCAACATGCAGTCATATTTCGTTAAAATTAGCTTTCGGTCAGCTTTCACCCAACGATGGCAAGGGAAAGGGTCCCCTTCGTCGACATCAGCWACTCCCAGTCGCCTAACTCGAATCCATTCAACGTACCAATCGTCTCCTAGCCCAGTCTCGTCACGCCATATTTCKATCTTTTTCAAAGAACCGAGAATTGCACCGTTGGACAACTTAAACTTGTCGATATTACCCTTTTCAAAGTCGTTCTTCCAGCGGCAATCCAAGTGAAATTCCTTTGATCGATTGCCCTCTTCGTCCACCAAACAGCAGTAAACATTCGCATCCGTCCCAGCGCCTTTTACATCGCCAGTTTTGACRATAACCTCGTAATCTGGAGGCACACTGCTGCAGTTTCCCATTCTGGAAAACCTTGTTTACAATCAAAGTGAAGTTAATACAATTATAAGGAGTTGTAAATGGMCGATTGAACACTTAGTATATTGGCTCGGTCTAAAGAACTTCTCTAAGTACTCAAATAGTCGTTTTACCCGTCACGACTTCTCTCTAATCACGATCTTACGCCTTTAGTATGAACGGTAACCTATGCTCAAAGAACCTTGAGATTTTGCGTCGACGAGACACGAATGACGGCGTTTGACACTCTCAAATACACTGAGCGATGGCATGCCAATTATCAACGGGTGAAATGATATGACGTCATGGGGGGTTGTGGCATAACCGCATACAAAGAATAAGTGTCAAGCTTTCAAAATTCACGTACAACCCAGCCATAAGGTTACAGCTTTTACTTAATTGCGGCTTCAAAGATCGATTAACTTCTTAGTTGACTTTCTAAACCAACCATAATCTTTAAGAATTATCAAAAATATGAAAGAATTTTATGTATATTTAGATAAACAATGTAATTTATTGATTTTACTATTCGGCTTTGCATTTAAGTAATAGCTTCATTCAATTCTCTGTTTTAWTATTGTACTATTCATAACTAACAATGAGGTGAATTTGAAGGCTTTTGCATCATGATTGGTGAAGTCTTGAATTTTTAGTTTGCGTGAATGGACATGCAAGACAGACTCAGTCGTCGCGTGCTTTCACTTTTTTTCGCCTTGTAAAATATTTTCAGTTTTAGTATTAACCGGAACAAGCTGTCATTCCCATCGTAGCAAAATCAAAGTGAAGTGTTKTCATTCCGAAGAAGAATTTCAGTTTAATCTCCTTTTTATTTATTTATTTATTTTTCTTTTTTTTCTATTGTAGTCCCATTGTAGTCCCATATTTTTAAAACTATAAACAGTAAATTCATAGATATTTATAAAAAGTGAATTTACAAGCTATGTTAATATTAAATTCGAGTGATTTGCATTTAGAAATAACCTGCGTAGTTGCTGCGCATGCGTACCAAATTATACCTCTTCTCGYCATTTCTTATGTTTTTATGGCTTTCTTCAAATAATTTAACGTTGAATCGTGTATTATAGAGCAAATGAGCTTATATAGAAGCAAAACTGTTAATAAAAAAACGCTTTTTTATCTTTAACTATATCCCACATGTTTGAATATTTTTGGCGCATGTATGSCTCAGTTCCTCGCTYTCAGTTTCTTTGCCTTAAACTAATGAGTAAGGAAAATAACGATCTGGGTGACGCCAGATCCTTACGATAAGTTTCGTATAYCAATTTTTGACGGAAAAGAGGTTGCCCTCGAGTGACCCGCTTACTTCTGCGGGATGCTCGTGTTGATAGCGACCTCCGTCCAACATCAAATTGAACAGAAAAAACAATAATCTAAGACTAAACACAGCACGGAGATGTAATACAATTGAGAACGGAGTGTTTAATTTTTTTCCTTTTTCCTTATACATTTAATTTTAATCATTTATGTTTTTGCGAATTCGTTTATTCTTATTTTTTTTATCTTATTCTTATTATTTTATTTTATATCATTTTTGTTTTACCAAATATACAAAAGGAACTAAACTGTTTGTTCTAAGCTTATAGGAAAAAGCAAATTTATTAGGTATCAAAACTCGAATCAGAACTCGTTAGGCTAGCCTTTTCGCTTAGCATAAAAAGAGAATGTAGTGCTTTGCACTTGTTAGCTGTTCGTAGGGTATTTCATACCCGTCGCACGTAAAAGTGTATTGTGGCCGTAAACCGCGCTGCAAAATCGGCAATTTTCCGCAACCGAGCGATCTTAAACATAAACCGCCACAAAAATGCGTGCAATGTGGCAAAAACGACTTCTAAAATCAGCAGAAACCCTCAAACCACCAACCCATAATAGACCCCCTTGGGAGTCCAATACTAGGAGCGTGCATCGTGATGCATTCTATTTTTAGATTCTTTTCGCCCAATGATCAATACTTGCGGTGTGAGTCGCATTCAGAAAAAACTGAAATAACTGAATCGCCGTACTTTTCTATATGCAGGAGATCAATATAAGACGCTAAATGTAAAAAAAAGATTGGTTCTATATACGCTTTTTTTAACCAAGTCGATTTTTAAGCGTGGAGCGGAGCATTATCAGTAACAAATATGCCTGTAGATCATTAGGCATTTAGGCGTCCGCATATGCGCCGTCTACTGCATTATCGTTTAAAGTCGAAATTTTTCCAAGAAAACCAGAGAAAGCAATATACATGAGTATAGTAATTAAATAMAGTACCTACGAGAATGCTGCTGATTACTATTAATTAAATAACGGTAATTTTATATACAAACATGTGCACTTGCCAAGAACGAAGAACTGCGYAGAAAGTTCTCATCAACTYTTTACAACCGGCCGCCATCAGAGATTTGTTTCTTCCAATTTGATTCTTAGTTMATGCAGTATGACTTGTTATGAGTCGGCCGGTACTCCATATACCATATACTWAAACTTCACCCACGACGCAAAAWACAAATATGGTTATGAAAATTAGAATTTCAAAAAAATGACTGATAATTGCCATGGTTGGTGTTTGTACAGACTTGGGCGGGGAAGAATTCAGAAGCTTTAATTTAATGATTAATTATTTAAATCCCAGCTACTCATTCAGTGTTCAAATAATGATGTGTTTAATACTGATAAATTGATAAAGTTCATTTTTCATTAAAAGAGGAATTAAAATACAATATTAGTTGTTTAGTTTAGTGACTTATTTTTCTCTAGTTTTTTTTTCGGCAAATCATGAAAAGGCCCATTAGCCCTTCTTAAACGTAAAAAATAAAAGTAAAAAATAAAACGTCAAAACCATCAAACGTAGACCTCCATCGAGATCCTCCTCTATGAATTCCACAGTAAACTGACAATTGTTGTCTCGCAACTGTACATGTTTCATGTAGCATTGCGCGAAGTAGAATCCAGGCCTACCTCTCGCAATGAACAGGAACTTACAAACGTGCAACACCACTACGCAGTATTACCCCCCGCGGCAACTTTTCAACTAAAACCCCTATACCCATATATCATTCGAGAACAAATAGAGTTGTCGCGAATCGTAGCACGCTTTTCTCTTGGCCAAAAACAATCTGAAACAGTTTATTTTCCAGTTTCCAAACAAAGTTCTAGAAATTTAGACGTTGCCCCCCCTCTTTAGAAATAGATTTTGCTCCCCCCCTCCTGAAGATAAATATTGAGCAGTCCCTTAGTACGCTGTTAGAGGATGAGCAATTTCGTATTTCTACTTCCAGCTTAGCGCAAAATTATCCTCACAAGTTGTTATCAAAATTGCAAGATGTATAACAGCGCCCTTAAGATTTAGGTACACAAGCAGGGCCATAACGCACGACAAGTGCTATTCGTCAAATTGGAGAAAAAGGTTTGTTTTACAAGACAACCGTAGACAACCGTAGAAACGTTTCGAAAGGAATAGGTGATGGTGCTCATAGTACACGATCGAACTTATACACAATTGCAAAATGTACATGCATATTAACAATATTTATCAGGAGGGGGGAGAGGGGAGAATCCAGAGGGAGTGGGGGGCAAAATTTAATTATCTAATTATATGTGCTTAAAGAGTGGGAGGCGGCCGCAACGTCTAAACTTAACAAGAACTTGAATTGGAAACTGAAAAATCAACGGTTTCAAATTCGAAAACTGAAATGCGTACCACGATTTGCAACAACTCTTTATCACGAGTAATAAATAAATAAAATTCACGGGGGTTTGCGAGGGGAGAGTAGTAATTAATTTTGTTTTTATTTTGGGGGGGGGGGAGGTGTTCATTTCTTAACCCCTCTCCACCTTATAAATATTGCGCAGTAAAGGAAGCAAACTCTAACTGATAAAAAAGTGTGGCTGAATAGCCGAAAGTCTATTACCAAGACTCATTCAGTTATAACGATTAATCATTGAAATGGCGTACTTCTTTTTTTTCTTTCTTTTGTTTTTCTTCCTTATCTTTTCCAAAACAACACAATCTTTCATTTTTACAAATAGATTTTTCTCCAAATATGCAAAACTACCCATGAATTACAAATGCTTATACAACACTTAGAACATCTTAGAACTGTAAAAACCTAGCAGTCCAATGATATGATTTTTTTTAAACTGCATATTTAACAGAGAAATGTGTGTCTGGCGATAACCCCAACCATACATTCCACTCTAAACTAGATAATTTTAAAAGGAAAATTCCTATCTCTTGTATTGCATGGGAGTTACGAGAATTTCACAGATCATGCTTCGAGCCAGTGAAGCCGAGGGTAACTATACTTTAATATTTCAGTGRTCATTTTGTCCCAACGAAAAGAGAATATGGAAATGAACGCCGGCCATTTTGAGAAACAGTTCCCTGCAATAAACTATTATTTTTAGCCATTTCCAAAGTATATCTAATTGTTTTCCAATATTACGATTTGTTTAATCCAGATTGTCTTAGCCGTCGACCAGCCTGCCTTGCGGACCGAGAAAGGTAATAATAAAACTATCATCGAGAAAATGCATGTATGAAGAACTTGGTAACGATCCATATATCTTGCCAGATACATTGTCAAACAAATCATTTTCCTTTCATGTAACACCGACAGCAATATCTCCTGGTTGGATCTGGAACGACATAAAAAGTCAGTTCATGTGGAGTCTGGTATTAATGCTAATACTGTACGCAGCTGTCCGCAACACATAGGAATGACCTTCAACAGAGAAACATGGTCAAAAGAAAAACTTGAAGTATGTTGCTTAGAGACGCCGAGATTAAAGAGAGGTTGATGATAAGATGACTCGTAGACAATTTCTGGCGAAGCAGATGACCAGTTATAATATAATACTCAACAACAAAGAAGAACTACGAACTGACTTTTTTAAAAGAACTACCTATAACTGGTGCAAGTACTTTCGTTTTCATTATTGTGGCACCAACCTTTGATAAAACAACAAACACAAGCTCAAGAAAAATCCTTGCGTCTGGCCGAGGAATGAAGTTTGGGTCGATTTTGCGGTGTTTACATAAGCTCTCTGAGCGCTTAGCATTAGACTTAGGTTTGCGTCGTACTTTTTCATAGGTTTGCGTAGTAGATAAGCATTGTCGCAGTCAAAATCATAAGACATATTACAAATTGAACTACGATATTATGATAGTGGTGTTACATTATTTAGATATATCATCTTGTTGTACAAACCGTACTTCCCACTTTCCACTTCGATCTTATTACTAACTTCTATATTCGTGTGTTTTTGAATCCGATAATGATCAATTTTGATCGAGTGCAAAAAACGCAAATTCGTACGAGTTAGCTAATAATTTGATCTTTGTTTCCGTTGTATATAAAAGTATCTTCAATATTATAACGAGATAAACCAGTCTTGATTGTGCATGTAAAAATTGGGAAGAAAAATATGCAATTCTCTTTCATCCATTTACTGTCTGATGACGAGTCTAATAAGCTCCCCGATCCATTCCCCGATCCATAAATATTTTTGTACACTTCAATGGTGAACTCAGTGAACTTTTTMATTTTATACACGATGGCTAACACCTCGTGGCTTTGACAAAAATAATATAACAACGGCTCATGTTATCTAAAATGCTATCTTTAGAGAATGATACGCTTTGGTACTCAAGCAGAAACCAGGACAACGGCCAACACGAGTTTCTTAACATATGTAAGGAAGAGAAGTATAAAAGTTGGCCTAAAAGATCGCACAAACGTAGAAAATGGTGTTTTGGCTTTGAAAGATGTTAGTTTAGTGTTGTTTAATGTTTATGTTGGAAATTTGATGAGTGTTTGGTGATGTGATCAACTTAGCGTGCATGCCGACCGGATCTGAACAGGTGTGCGGCAGCTGCACTGACCGGCATTGATCAAAAACCGTTAACTGTGCGAATCTTATTTAGAACATTCTTTTTACTTGTTGAAAACACATTTGGTTTCCAATACAGGCGCCTTTTGACTCATATTATCGTCAATTACATACAAGGACCTCAAGTTTTACTATCACGGAAGTTGGACTGTCAAAGGAATGCCTTTGAATTCTCAATCGAGATGGAAATGGAAGGAAAAGTCCCCAAGAAAATGTTAGCTTTTTATGTCTGCGTTAACGTTTGCGTCGAGGAAAACTTTCAGAAAAACTCCTTCTATAATTCGCTAACAAGTCATACTATTGATACTT